CACACTCCATTCCTCGCGCCAAATTGACGCCGGCCGAGCATACACACACACCAAGTGAAGCGGAGGCAAACAAAATAAATATGAAACGCCATGTAAGTTACCATCATCATTTGCCAAAAAAAGAAGAGAAGTTGGGCGAATTAAAAACCCTGAGTGAAACAATAAAAGCAAAGAGGGGTATAGGTATAAATAAAAAAAATTGTCACGGGATGCCACACCACGCCACGTTCTCCCCTTCCAGGCTCGTGACGATCTACTTGCTTCTCCACGGCACCATACCAAGCGACTCGACTCTCGGCATGCTCATATGGTACCCGCGTCCCATGCGCTCGCGGTGCACTCGCACGATATTATGTGCATTCATTTTCAGGAAAAAAATGGAGAAAAAGAAGAAGAAGTAAAACGCAAGTTGGCATGCCACCGTGTTGCTCGTCGAGCGCTACCGGCGGCGCTATACCGGCCCCGACCCACTTGTGTCGATCTGATCTGCACAGGACTCGGCGCGAGCCACGCACCCGCCGCACTACACACGTTTTTGTTTGACGTCGTCGGCAGCAACAAAAAAAATTTCAATGAACAATTCCCACGAAAATATATAGAGTCAAAAAACAAATGCAGAGAAATCATTGGCATATCTTACTGGAGCTGGCGAGTGTGTGCTTTCTCCCTCCGTCGGACTCTCATAACACGTCACACTCGGCGACCCCCGAACCCAACCGAACGGCACAAGGCGTCCCGCGGCGACGCGACCCAACCCAACCCGCGAGTCCGACCACCACAACAACTATCTTTTTCTGCCCTCCTGGCTACGCGACCGCGGAAAAATACAAGGGGGAAAAAATCACGACCGACGACCCCGAACGACGCCCACTACTACAACAGCGGCAGCCCTATAGGCATCGCTAATTATTTTTTCAACTTTTTTTTCGGAGATTGTCCTGCTGCGTTTTGAAGCGGAAGACTGTTATACGCAACACTTGCTCTACCCGTCCTGTCAACAGCGCGCGTTCGACAGACGAGCAAAAAAAAAGAGGAAGAAAGAGCTAAATTAGCAGCGACGGCGGGTTGGTTCGGGCCAGGTCGGCCGAGTCCTCTTCCAGCACACCACGTGGCGCGACTCGGAGCGACCGCACTGGTGGGACCGGCGACCCGACCCACGGCAACGGGTACCTCACCTCACCTCACCTCACTTCACCCTTCCCCCATCGGCATGCACAGAGTCGTCGAGGAGGAAGGCGAGGACCCGCGGGACCGTCACGTTCCGAGGGCCTCACAGCGCCCGCGGCGGCGGCGGCGCGGCTGCGACGGAGTCCTTGACAGAGCTCCGCCAAGGAGGGCGAGGAAGAAACGTTACACCCGGAGTAACATTAAAGAGGACGCGAAACAGCCGTACCAGGTAATGGCAAATGGCGCGCTCGCCGGCAACCAAGTCCCCCCCATCGGAATGGTGAAGTAGAGGGTGTTGTGATGGCACGGTGCATGAGTGAGGGAACACTGGCAGGCCGCCGCTGCACCAGAGGTCGGCTCAAGCATCGCCTCGCCCTGACCGACCAGTCTGCGTGCCAGCCGGCCGGGTGGTGGCAGCGCCAAACGCGCGCTTAGCGGGGGAGGTTTTGTGCCCAACCTCGGCCCTGACCCGACACCCGACGCGAGACGGGCGTGTGGGCCGGGCTGCTCATAGAGAGCTCGGACACAGGTGCAATGGCCACGAGCCTGACCGCGTGTGGGGAGCACCGAGCACGGCGTACAGTAGTGCAGCACGGCCCCGCCCGCCCCCGGCTGTGCACTTGTCTCTCTTGCGAGTGCAGCAGAGGGGTCTACGGCCTTGGCTCCCCTTGAGCAGCAGGAGACATCGACTGTCTGCCGGGCGCACGGACGGACGCACTGACGGGCGGGCGGGCGGAGTGCGGGGTGCGGGGGGCGCCCTGTACAAACACCAACCAGCGCTCATCCATAAGCATGCCAACGCGGCCAACATGAACACTCGCCAAAAAGCCGAGCCCGCGAGGCTGCTTAATTTAAATACCCAAAGAAGGCGGGAGAGAAGCGCGGGGGCGGGGGAGGGAGGGTGTTCGCCGTTAGCCCCGGCAGGGTATAGAAAGGGGGGCGACAAAGGCCCGCAAAAACATCCCTTCCTACACTCCTCGGGTGGGCTAGCTGGCTGGCTGGCGCCGAGGGCGTGGTGGGGGCGTGGCGGGGCGGGGCGAGGCTCGGCCGCGCGCAGACAGCGCTTCGCGCCGACACATTACTAAGGAACACGCAGCCCGACGCGTACGAACAAGGGTGGGGAGGGGCGGCAGTGCCGTGGCAGGGGCGCGGCGGGGCGGGGGACAAGTACGGCAGCCAACGAGGCCAGCACTGTTACCAGCACCGCCGGTTCGAAGCAGCCAGGTGCCACGTCGTCACAGTCATTCTAAAAATTGGCAATATGTGTCACTTTCGTATGTGACAGTATGATGGCAAACTATTGTCACGTTACGGCGCATGTCAACCTGTCCTAACCGTTACCATATACTTTTTTCGGGCAGCTTAAAATGGGCAATGCGTGTCACCCGCCATTCCTCTGACAACAAACGAAAGAAACTGCCAAATTTTTTGCAAAGGCGCGGCGGGTGCTCCGCGTGCTTCCACCAGGACTGTTGCTCTGCCATGTATGCGCTCGATTGTGTCGCCAATAAAGGTCACAGATCACAGATCAGTCGCCTTTAAACAGAGCTTTCTCACTTCTCTCTTTCTCTCCATCGCGCTGCAATCCGCAGCTGTGCACACAATTTCCTCGCCATGATGGCAGACAGGGGCGGACCCTTGCCGTCGCGATGCGGAATGAATTTTGCCGAAATATATCGGAGCACTGCGCTGCCGAATGCATAATCCGCGAATGAGGTCGCCCATAGTATTGCTTCGTTAGCCGACGTGAGGCGGGCGAACGGCGCTCGATTAGAATATTGGGAGAGCAGGCGGCAAATTGGAATTTTAAATATATCACTTCTCCCCCTCCCATTCAACTTCATTTTCTATTCTTTTTATGTTGGCCACGTTGATCGTTTGCCTGCGCTGCTGATGGCCTTCTGCAGGTCGGTTGGGGCGCTGGCCAACGCAAATACACACACACTCACACACTCCACACAAGAGCGAACAGACGCCGCGCTGCAAGGCGACTGGAAATAGCGCCAACACACACACATACACACAGCCAGCTGGCGTGAAAGGTCTTAGCATCGTCAGTCTGCGAAAATTGCGCGTGCAGATTTCGCTTCCGAAATGCTGCAACATTTCTACAACTCGCTGCTGGCCGCTCGCTGCGCCTGCTCTGGCGGTTGGACGATATGGACGGACAGGCTCCAGTAGAGCAGCGCTAGTAAGTATCTGTAGTGGTAAGTGAGATGAGAGCGTAGAGTTGAGAGGGGAGGGATGACCTGGCCCCCCGCGCCTGGCCTCGCGATCCCTGGAGCCGGGGGACTTCCCGATTTAGTCGTGTAGGGAAACTCGGTCCATCTCCTGTAATCTCCTGATGGGCGACTCTGCCGATGCATCCACTCGCGCGGCGCCGCCGCGGTGCGAGATGGGGGCCAGGGCAGGGCGCGTGCGCGCGCGCGCGCGCGGACCGTCTCAACGGAACGGAACCGGGCGAGCGGGATTCGGTTCAGTCCGAAACTTACGCAACTCGGGCGGCGGGCCGGGCGGGCCGGGGCGTAAGTACATCGGGGCGGCAATGCCCGACCGGCCCAGCTGTCACACACGCGGGCCGTTGCGCAGCGCCCCACACACGCTGGAGGGAGGGCGCTGCGGGCCGGCACAACGTACTTAGTGGCGGGCGGTGGGGCCCGGCCGAAGGGTCCTTTTCTAACATACCAGTGTACACCGATTTTCTGTTGTTTTTTTTCTGTTGTTTTTTCAGATTTCTTTCAGATTTCTCCTGATTTCTGTTGGTCTGACTGGTCTGGCTCTCATAGCGCCTGATGGGTAGGCAACATCTCGCCTGCAGTGCACGCGTGTGTTGCGGGGTGGCCTACCCTAAGTCTCGCAGGCGCCGAGCTCCCGTAACTTGCCGAATGATGAATCCGATGGGAAAAACGGACGCACTCGCTCTAGACGGCCCCTAACCACGAAGAACGTGGTGGTCGGCACGGGGCGCATATCCAGGAGAGTCACCGAAACGGTGACATGTTCATGTCCATCGACCACGCACCCAACCCAACGCACGCACCACGCACCACGGCGCCGGTCGGAAACCTTGTCATTCTCCCGCTCCCGCAAAGAGTCCTTGCTCGCCGCCGGGCCACGCGCCGCGCTGGACGCTGCTATCCCCGCCGCCCTCCTGCAGAGCACCACGCCGCCCCACCCGCCCGGGAGCTGTTGCAATTTCCTGCGCTTCGGAAGCAGCGCGGATAGAGAGCGTTCCGCTCGCACGGTGAATACTCCAGCCGGGCAGGCACGAGGCGGGCGGGGCGCCAGCCAAAATGTAGTCGTTGAAAAACACGGGCGCCGCGCCGGGGGAAGGAAGGGGCCGTCAGGGTGGGGCGAGAGGGAAAGAGGGGGGGGGGGCAACCGATGCAGTTCATCAAAGACTCTTTCGAAGTTTGCCTGATTGGGGTGCGGCAGAGCAGGAAAAGTCGCGAAGCCGTTCACTTTTGCATGCAGGATTGGCAAACGCGCGCCGCGGCGACGGGGAGTCTCGGGTGAGGTGTGGCGAGGTGGGGCGTGGCGAGTGCGGCGCGGGGCGTTCCCCCGCATCCCGGAAGAGCCCGGCGACGACGCCGGCGACGCGCGCCCTCCTAGCCTTGGCTCTACTTCTCTTCGCAGCCGCTATAATGCCGCTCCATCCGCGCCCCGCAGTCTGGTTAACTTTTGAAACGGCGAGGTTATGACTTTCGCGATGTGGCGGGCGCGGTCTGTCAGAACGCTCAACGCC